ACACCTGTGTGCATGTGCATATTCCTGTGTTTGTGCTTGTACCTGGGTGTTTGTGTCTCTGCGTGTATGTGACTGTCTCCTAACTGCTATATACTGCACTAGGAGCCCAGCACTGTGCTGATGCAAGGCCCTGGTCGGAGAGATGCATGGTCTTTCCAGAAGCCTCCCATTAAATAGCGCTGGGTCTTATCCACAGGCTGCAGAGTGTATTGGCAGCTAACAAAGCGTATTTGGAAAGGGCAGAGCACTCAGCACCCAGGACTTGCGTGGGAAGGCGCACAAACACCAATATCTTTCTCGTGTTTTCTGAGGTCAGCTGAAGGCTGAGGTGCATTGACTGGCACAGGGTCCCAAGAGAAACACATTTTCAGGTTTCCTTTTACCAAAGAAGATTAGGCATATTTACTAATAAATCCCTAGGGAGAAAAAAGGTTAGCACTTCCATCACCAAAAGAACAACTCTCCAGCAGAGTAAAAATGGCAATTTCTCCATCAGCTAAAAGGATAATAATCATTACTTTAAAGTATTTCTTATTAAAGAGTGGTGTTGGGGTTTGTGTGTTTCCATCTTTAGGATTGCAACTGGTGACACAAAGTGCATCATCTGGGGGAGGTTAAAACAAGCAACAGTAGAAAAGGCTCTTGCTATTGTTTTTTCAGATTGTGAAAGCATTGCACAGATGAATTTGAGAAAAGAGAATCGTTTAACTTTATTTTATTAGAGAACTTAGACCTCTCTAGAGACAATAGTTTTAATGCCAGGTTTATTAAAGGCAGCCTGACTTCCCACAGGCCTATGGCCCCCTCTCTCAGGCTTTTCTTCAGTTTTACTCTCTCACAGTGAAAGAGCACTGGGGGAGTAGCACGTTGTACAGCTAACCAAAAGGTTGGCTGTTTGAGTCCATCAGCTGCTTCGCAGGAGAAAGACAGGCAGCCTCTTCTGGTTAAGATTTGACAGCTTCAGGAACATGATGGAGGGTCACTGAGTCATAAATGACTCCACAGCACTGGGTTTATAGCAGAGGTTAACCTTCCCTGGGGCTGGGGAGATCGTAGAGCCTTTCTAAAGTACTTTGTCACCAAGTCTGTGGAACAGAAGTGGTTAGGGGGTGCAGCCCACACTGCTGAAGTGGTCCTTCCTGGACACTGAGACCACGGGCCTGAACTTGGGGTCAGAGCTGCGCCCCGGCACCCCGCAGCCACTGGGTGCCCGTGGCAGTTCTCAGCATTTCTCATGTTCCTCTTGCAGAATGAAAATAGAGCAGAGATGCCAGGGAGATTCGGGTCCTCGTCGTCACCAACCTCTCTAACTCACATGTAAGATTTTGAGTTAATTATAGAATTCTTGCTGCCTAAAACTTAAAGATACATCACTGATATATTTTTTTTCTAACTGTTGACTGCAGCGAATAGCTAAGATGTGGCATATTGATTTCTTGTTGTGAAGTGAGCTGTTCAAGCTCCATTTAAGATTTTCATCTTGCATGTAGCCCTGAGCACATCATAGCACCATAAATTAGTTAAATTGCACATTTATCACAAATGTTATTTTAAGATACTGCGTAAATGTGATGGCTGGAAGATCTACAGTGGGGCTGCAACAAGCCGGGGCTTGGGCGGGTGAGGCCGGGGTCACCTACACACCTGTGATTAAACCTCCCTCACTTCTCCTCACCCCCTCCTCCCTGGAACCACGGAGAGACTTGATTGGGATGACTTAGTCCTTCCTGTGCTCAGTTCTGTGAGCATCTGTGGAGAGGAAGCGGTGGTGTCTAACCATCTTCAACTTGAAGGTGGCTTGCGTGGGCGTGGTTTATCCCGGGTCTCACTGATGGGAGTCACAACCTTCTGCACAATGCGAGGAAACCCACGCGGCACTGGCTTGCCCCTTAGTTAGATGAAGAAAGAGGGGACCTTACAATGCCAAGAGGCAAGGGGTGAAGGCCTAACCAGCCATGTCCCCAACGCTGCATAGGTGATGGTACTGCCATTGTATTAAATGGGGTTTCCAGTCATAGCTGGGATGCCCACTGCCAGTAACTCTGTTGTCCCTGGAGGGAAAAATGAGCATGCGCTCTCCCTTCTTGGCTGTCACCACCAAGTGCCACATGAATGATTTAACCTGTTACCCACCTTGCCTGTAAATTCACAACTTCTACTGCCCACCCCCCAACTCCAAAGTTAAAATCCTAAAGCTGATCCTGGGGGTGGGGTGACAAGGAGGAGATGGGCAGAGTGTCAGGTTTGTCTCCCAAACTGTGGAGAGGGGGGTTCCTTCCGCCATCACTTGCACAAATCCCATCTCCCTTCCAGCCACATGGGCCCTCCTGGTGATGGAAGTGTTGTCAGTTTAATCTGTTAGACACAGGACTTTGGATTCTAATAAACCAAGGCTATATTTAACCTGTGAAAAATTCAAGAGTGGAAATCTGGGCTCCAGGATGTGAAGATGTGGAAGGCACAGGAGGGAGTGTGGCTCTGTCTCCTGGGTTGGGTTCTAGGGAGCCGGTACCTTCAGGTAAAGGCCAATGGGGATTAGAGGTGAGGAGAGCGCCCCAGGTTAGCCATATCTTCCTCATCAGGCAAAGGTGTAGTGTGGACAGCCCTCTCCATTGGCTGAAAACCAACTATAAACCCAAGTGAGTTCTCTCAACAATCTCGGGGAGAAGATGGATTGCTGAGAGAAAATAGAGTAGACAGAAATTTTGGAATCATCTTGACAAAAAGGGGTGGGGAAATGTAGAGGAAAAACGTAGGCGTGTTGCTGAACATCTCTGAAAGGGCTTAATTTAAATTTTTAATAAAAGAGTATTTTTTTTTTAGCGCTGAGGTGTTTTATGTATTACATGGATGTAATACATCTCTCATTTGTATAATTCTAGGTTAGGAGGTACAATTCTGACGAACTGCAACAGTGGTTTGAATATAGTAATAAAGGTATTTTACAATTTTACATGATGTTCCCAGTGTTTTGTTGGCATGATTTGCCAGGGCTAATAAAAGCTTGTGATTATCATATAAATGCTCTCCCCATCCCCCTTGTGTGTGGGTTTGGTCTCCCGCCCTCTTTATCTGTGGCTGATTTGGTGCAGGGGCGACTCGGTAGACCCCAGGATCTGTCTGCCCAGCGTGGTCCTGTGTCCTGCAGTTTGGAAATCCTGAGTCCATGCACAGGGCTTTTCTTCCTCCATCAGTCTCCTGACTTCCTTCTGCATATGTGGAGAAGCCAATGTCTCCAACCCTACACAGGCCACCGGAGCAGCTGGCTTAAGGAAACCCTGCCACTCGAGTGGGGTATTCCCTCATGTCACCTATTCTGGGAGATTTTAACCTCCTGTGAATTTTCTCCTTTCTTCTCAATTTTCCTTCCTGGGTAAAATTCCATTCATGCTGCCTCTGAATAAGGGCTCCCTGCTCTCCAGACGCCAAAGTTCACTAAACTCCCCTGAAATACGTGCAGCTCCCGACTGCCAGCACCTGGCAGACACAGCGACCAACTCAGTCATAAACAGATCGCATACAATTTAATTTTAATGTGCTCGTTAGTCGTAGCACATTTCAGACATAATTGTGAACGCAACACAAAATTATAGCAAAAAGACAATTTTAATGCTGCCGTAGAAAAAAGGGTTCTATGAAGAGTCACATAATGGTGCTTCATTGTCAACAACAAAATAGGGCACGGAGTGTGTTACAGTGTCTGCGCTGTTTACATGCCAATATTTTATACATAGGTTCTCAGAGGGTGTCAGCTGTCAGTTACTTCTGCAAATTAACTGCCAAAAATGGAGAGGAACAGAATCACTTGGAGAGCTGGTAACCACGGGTTACCTTTCATAAGCCTAAAGATAAAGCTGCAGTGTGGGATCTTGGGAGAATAATTAGGAAGAACAAAACAGAAAAGTTACCAATTGAAATAAAAAGGCATTCTACAATATGGAACAGCAACCAAGAGGGCTTATAAATAAGTGAAAGCGATCGGATCACAGAATGCCTCCTGACTTGTAAGCAAAGTATTACAGTACAAACATTTTAAAGGCTTTATCAATGTTTAGGAAATACAGTACAAGTTCCTTTTTTTTTCCTTTTTTGATCTTTTTTGTCCTTTTCAAATAGACTTAACCCTTTGAGCACTGAGTTTATTTTGAATGTTCTTTTATTTCTAATAAATATCTTTAAAAATCATGTGCAAAATAGTTAGGATGCCTGCCTGGGATGCATTTCCTGGCCTCATTTATTCAGACTGCCCAAAACAAATGATAATATGATGCTAATAAATATGTATAATTTAAACATGAACCTCTATCAATATAGATGTACTGTATATCAAAACAAACAATCATACTTTGCTTTCAGATAATGTTTCTGTATACTTTATAAATGCTATTTGTGGTATCATCTGTATAATTTACAATGTTTGCTTGTAAAAAAAACAAACACAAAAATCATAGACCTTAAAAAAAAAGAGAAAGAGAGAGAAAGAAATATACACTATACATAGGCACAGCTTATGCCCAGAGCATAGCAGATACGTAAAACACTGTTGCTATAAATGCAGGAAAAAGGTCATTTAACCACAATCACATTTTTCATAAGAGAGTCTGAAATCTATACAATATATACATCTATGTTTCAATGTGAAAATAATATTCTTTTAAATTTCAAGGCGTGTTAATACCCCTGCAGACCTGCATAAATGGAGGTTCATATTATTCATTATAACTAAGCTGGTAAGGAGTTTAAAAAACAGAGCTTCATACATTATTATTATTTCATTTTATTTTTATAACCAAATTAATGCAAAAGTGCTTCAAAGTACTCAGAGGGCTAAAGATGAAAGGGTGAGAAACCCGGGCACACTCGCATCACATGGAGAAAGTGTGCCCGGCTCTGTTATAAATGCTTAATTAAACTGTCTGTTAATGCATGCAGCTTGAAGCATCAGAGGGATGCTCACAACTAAATCCCATTTACACAAAGTTCCAAACACTTACCACTGCATTTTAACCTTCATATTTTACCAGTAACAACAGCTGATTATGCACCTCTATTAAACACTGTACAGTTATACAAAACAGTCCAGCCCGGGGTGGGGGAGGGGGATGGAGGACCTCTGCAGTTAAAATAGGAACATGTGCCAAGAACGAGACAGAGGGGCTTTCCACAGTTTCCCTCAAAGCAAAACCGGAGTCTTTTCAACCAAAAGCGAATGCTACTGCTTCTCTAGTTCGGACACATACAGGAGGTGATCTTCCGGTGACTTCCCGTGGGTTTTGCTAAGGTGAAGTTTGACCGCATGCTTGCTGGCAAAGGTCCGATTGCAGAGTTTGCACTGATAGGAGGTCCCCAGGTCCTCCTCCGGGGAGGACGTCACCAGTTTTTCTGACGGCGACTTGGTTTGTGCTATCTGATTGTTGATTTGTTCGGTGGACAGTTTGGACAAGTCCCGGAGGCGGAAGCCCAGGTGGGACTCCAGATGACTGATGTAGGTGGAAGGAGTCCTAATTTGCGACGCGCAGTCATTACAAAAGAACACGGGGTGGCCGGTGTCTAAGTTTTTGAGGAACTTTGTTCCACCTGTCCTTCGAAGCTGGTATTTCACGTTGGCCAGCCAGTGGCTGATGGTGGTCATCGAGAGGCCCGTGAATCTGGAGATGTGCATCCGCTCCTGGGGGCTCAGGTCTGACATGATGTACTTGCCTTCGGAGGTCTGCCTGAGGCTGGCGGCGAACTGGGCCTGCAGGATCAGCAGGTGCTGGGGATTCCAGTTGGACTGGCGGCCCTTCCTCTTCTGCGCGGGCGTCGACTCCTCAGCCTCCTCTAACGTGGCCCCATCAACGTCAGACTTCTCAGAGATGCTGGAAGGAGTGGAAGATTTTGATGTGTGGCTCTCTGTCAAGTTCTTCAGCATATCAGATATATCTGACAAGGCATTCTCGCGCAGCGGCGAGTTTGACATGAACGATACGACGGCAGATGTCTTTGCTGTTGTCACTGTGGATGAGGAGGTTGCCGGGGATGTGGATGTGGGTGACAAGAGCACTGAACCCAGAGAGCAGCCTTTGTCACTCTTCCCTTTTGTCAAGTCTATGGGCTGGTCGTTGTTGACGTGGTAGAAATAGCGGTCCAGGTGGTCTACCTTCTTGGACTGGAGGGGCGGCGGGGTGGCCACTGCCGCCTTCTCAGCCAAGCTATTGCTCATCTTGAACAGCATGCTCATGGGGTCGAGGGCAGGCAGGGAGGGCTTGGCGGCCTTGCCCAGGTGGATGTTCATGACCGACTGGAGGGCACTCAGAGGGTTCACAAAAGGCTGTTCCGGTGGGTGGTCGGTGATGATGGCTGTACTGCTGCTCAGACCCCCAGCAGCCAGCGGCTTCCCCAGCTCCTGGCCATTCTCCACAGGCTCTGCCGGTGGGCTCCCCTCCTTGCCCCCATCCCGCTGGGGGCTGGGGCTGCCCTCGTGGCTCTTGAAGCTCCCATCACTGGCTGCTTCCATCTTGACGGGCTCGCTGACATCGCTGCTGCATGGGGAGGGTGTCGCCCGCTTGGGGGGTGACAGCTTGCCCTCCGGCTCCTTCATCTTCTCCTCGACTTTGGCGACTTTCTCAGTGACTTTTTTCACCAGCTCTTCCATGGCATGGAAGTTCGTCTTGGGCATGGGTGAGGTCTGGCTGCTGGGGGGCGAGACCAGGGTCTGGCTTTTCGTGGGGGACACGATGTCGCTGTTGCTGAACATGGGCTTCAGGGGCGTGTTCTTCCCTGATGAGCCGAGGGACAGCTTCATCATGTTGGGGAGCTGGTAGGCGGCATGGATGCTGGGGTAGCCCCCCCAGCTGGGAGTGCCGTTCTGGGCCTTGTTGATGGCGGACGTCACTGTGTTTTCCAGGGACTTCAGGATATCTAAGCCCCCCTTGGGACTCTCTTCCAAGTCATTTTCTGTCAGGTAGTGGTATTTGGAAGAGATGTCATACTTTTCCTCTTCTTCGATGGCCTTCTCCTTTTCCTTAGGCTTTTCATCTGTGATGACCTTCTCTTTGTCCACTTCCTTCTTGACCTCCACGGTCAGCTTCGGGGAGACACTCGAAGGCGTGTTGGAAGGGGACGTGAAGGTGGTGGCTGCCAGGGGCACGGACTGTACCTTCTCGTCGAGCAGCGTCGTGATGGTGGGCGTGACGGGGGTCTCCATGATGGGCTTGCCCTTCTTCATGGCAGAGTTCGTGACCTTGATGAAGTGGCCAGTCACCATCATGTGGGCTGTGAGCTCCTGCAGTGTGTCGTGGGAGCTGCCACACTCCATGCACTTGAGGATCTGCGATTTCCGGGCCTCGAAGTGCCACGCATAGCTGGCCCCGTTCTGGTGGCCGTAGCGGTTATTTGGCGTGATGTAGGGGTTGGAGTTCTTCTGAAGCGCATCGTTCGTGTCTGTCAGCGCAGCTTTGGGGGTCCCGCCGGTGGAATCTGGGGAGCTGGGGAGCTCGAGCTCCAGCAAGGCTTTCTTGCGCGTGGCGGGGATGATTTTGGCTGCGACAGGGGTGACGGGTTCCTTCAGAGGCACTTTTTGGTAGTGTTTCGTTTTGATCATATGGACACTCAGGTCCTGCAGGGACTCAAAGGAGTGGCCGCAGTACATGCACTTTAACACCTTCTGGGCATCCTCCTTGCCTTCCATCTCCAGCAAGGAGCGCTTTCGGGGCTTGGACCAGCGCTTGGGGTTGTTGTTGTCGGTCTCATGGTTGTCATCGCGGTAGTGGCCCGTCTCGTTCATGTGCACCGTCAACTCCACCAGGGTGTCGTAGGCGGCGCTGCAGTCCTTACAGCGGAACTTGCTGGCTCCCGTGAAGATGGAGCCGTAGAGCTTGCTGCTCTGCCGGTACAGCTGCACGGTGCTGAAGAGGCTGGGCTCGGGCAGCATGCGGCTCTGCGACACCTGCTGCAGCGTCTTGGCCATGGCGCTCTGGTGCCAGTCGAAGCTGCTGCTGCCGCAGCTGCTGCTGCTGCTGCTGCTGCTACTGCTGCTGCCGTTGTTCTTCTCCGAGGAGGGCTGGTGCAGGTTGAGGTTGAGGTTGGACCAGTACGAATTGGACAGGAAATTGTTGTACACGGCTTTCATCTGCTCCAAGCTGTCCGACACGGTGGTGTCCTCCAGGGGCACGGGCACCTCCTTGGCCTCCTCTTCATTCTTGATGGAGCCACTCTCAAAGTCAGCCATCCGGTCACTGGTCTCACTGATGTGCGACTCACTGTCCATCTCGTGGCTGGAGAACTCAGCAGCCGGGGAGTTCTGGTAACTGGGGCAGGTCTTGGTGAGCTCCTTCTCCGGGCACACGTATTTAGCTGAGGGCTCGCCATCTGCCAGAGTCTCTTCCGGGTCTATGTCTTCGTCCACCAAGGCAGCAGCCTTGAGCTCCTCTGATACGTAGGCTGTGGTGGTAACAGGTGGGAGGATGGGACAGGCAGGATGGAAAGCAGAAACAGAGGGAGGAGGAGAGAGGGGGTGAAAACAGAACATTAGTAAGTGTTGCTCTTACATACAGTATTTTTCTCTTGTCTCTCAAGAAATGCAGCAAACTAGATGGGCACATTTATTTGTAAAATTAAATAGTTAAAATGTGGTGTTTCTTTGGAGCAAGGAAAAAAAAATCTGCTCTTCAAACATAATTTGCCACCTTATTCTTCTCAAGGGGCAACAGCTTGAAATTAAAACTAAATTTGAAATTAATGGAGCACATTCTGGAGGTGGCATTCATTTCTAAAGTAATAAATTACTTGTATCAACCTCAGAGACAGCAGTTCCTGTCTGTCAATTAATATGTCTTATGCTTCTCCTACCCCTAATGCATTTCTTAACAGACAGATTCACAATTTAAATTAAGCAGGCATTTTTTTACTCATTACATTTTTGAGGCTCAATCTTTAATAAATATAAAGTCCGAAGACATCAATATTTTTTTTTGTTACAAAGTAAAAGGAAAGTACATCAATTACAAGAAATTAAAGACAAGGTTTTCGTGGCGGGTTTTTCTCCCTTCCCCACCTTTCTTTCTTTCCTCTAGAAAAGCAGGTCTTATAAAAGGCTTAGAGGAAGTTTTGGAGCAGGAGTATGTACTGTTTGTAGCAGTTGGGAGGGAACATGCAGACCCGCTATCACAAGCCCTGGCCCCACTCCCCACATGCACAGCTATGCAGAATGATGTCAGAACAAATTCAGGAAAATTGGTATGCGGAGCTCATTCCTGCTGTATAAATATATACAAGACCTTCCAGTGGACCTTACAAATGTCAAAGTGTTTGCTCTTTAGACTACTTTGTCAATATTTACTCAGCATAAGCTTCATGGGCAACCAACAGGGACCCCGTCTTTCTGGAAGCAATGTAACTAGGGATGTAAATCCAGCATGCACTTCCTGAGCAGGTGGGGACCGGCCTGAGCAGCTGTGGGTTCTAGAAGGCACACATCCAGAAACGCAGAACTGGAAGAAAACTCATGCTAACAAAAAAGTTTTTCATCCCCCTCCCCCCTCATTCTTTTGGAGTCTGTGACTCTGACTCAGGTTATCCTCACAGAAACTTGCACCGTATCGCCATCTGGGTGGCCTTGTGAACAATCAGGCAAGGCCAGCCCTGTGGTGAGGAACGATTTAAAGTCAGAGGAGGAATCCCGCCTGTCGGTGCCTAAGCACCTGTTTGTTTCAAAGGACTCGGTGGTAAGTGCTTCAGGTGATGGGAATGTTTTGGCTGCAAGGCTGGTAAGAAAAAAAACAACATGGAAAAATATCAACAAACAGAGCTCGTAAAACAATAATAGGAAACCTTGTGGAATTTGCTCTCGTTATTTTAAACATATGCCCCTTCACTTATCCCAGGTTAATTTTACATGGGGAAGGGAAAAGCAAAGTGGCACAGCTAAGGAAGACTCTCTTAGAGCCTGTGGTTGGCGTTTATTTAATGTAGAACATATTGGGCTGCTGAGAGGTCAGGTGTTTGAATCCACCAGCTGCTCCACAGGGCAGTCTTCTCCCATGAAGATTTATAGTCTGGAAAGCCCACTGTAAGTTTGCTGAGTTGGAAACGATGGGACGGCAGTAGATTTGATTTGAGTGTCAGCCAAATAGATTGTTGTTCCACCTGGTCTTCCTTCCAGGTCAAGTGTGGATCTTTTATTCCTAAGCTTCCTTTTTTGTGTGTCAGGACCATTCCACTACCAATGACAGAACCAAGGCGACCTCTGCTCTTACGGACACTATAAAGCAAGAGTCACAGCTTTGGAATGAACTCTACCAATGGCCAGAAGAAAAGTCTTCTCTGTCCGCTGTCCACCGTGACTTGCTCATGTTGAGGTTTGGAGTGCTGGGGAAAACCTTATGTTTGAGAAGCCATGCACTTACAGAGGACATAAAATGACAAAGGCGCTTTTTTCACTATGTTCACAGTCAAAATGAATGGGAAATGTGGGCAGGCCAAGAGAGGCCTCTTTTGTATGTCTTATATGAATAGACATGTTGAAAAAGTAACCTGGAAGAAAACAGAAATCTAAACTAAATCACTCTTTCCCTCATATCCCACACCCTTTTTCAACCTGCAATATGATTCTAGAACTGAGAATCATGGCATAAAATCTAGTGACAAGTCTATAGATCATAACAGAATTTTAGTGCATGCATCTACTCCTCACTTAGTGACTATCTTATTAGCCAACATTTTGTGTTTACAACAATAGTAAGAAGTCTACTATCTGATGATTCTGCACATTAATTCGGGTATCCTCCTTGTATACAGCTCCAGGCTTGCACAAACACTATACCTGAAAGGCTCACAGCTGACTTAGCCTGCTCTCCCATATCCACCACTGCAGCCCTTTGTGAAGATCTGAGGGTTCGTGAGTGGTCAGATGGGTCTAGGAAGAAGGTAGAGTGAAGAACTGGGGCTGCTACGCCTCTCTGCTCAAGAGCCTTGGAGGGATCAGGTGACACAGCAGAGTTACTGGGGTAACACAGGGCCTGGGGGCTACCGCAGACCAACCACCACCTCCTCCTCCACACAGCCTCCAGGCTCTTGGCTTTGTACTTCAAGTCCTCAAGACCACCAGCATGTCTTTCATTCTGAAGAGGTCTTCCCCAATCTGCAGGCAGCAGTAGGAAGCAGGGGCCAAGGAGGAGCAGCTGTAGGGAGCAGGGCATGAATAATAATCCCAGTGACCACTCTGACATCCTGCCCTACTGGTTTCTTGTGCCCTAAAATTGAGGTGCCAACTGTGTTTCCAGTCCAGCTACCAGGCTCCAGGTCCCCACAAGCACTAGTCTCAACTGCAGAGCCTTGGGGTTCAGAGACGAGCAGTGCTAGGAAACAGCAAGTCCAAGGATCTGGGCTTCAGGGCTGCCTCTATGTCTGGCTTCTCCTCGTATAATACTGCTTTTGCACAGCGACCTGGTCTTTGGAAGTTACCCAGGTTGATAAATGAGGAATGGGTGGGCGGTGCTGGAAGACAAGCCCTCTAGTGAGAAGGCACCCTCTTGAGCATCCCAGCAAGCAGGGAGTTAGTGCGAGACCAGGTGCCATTTTGTTCATTGTCGCATGGATCACCCTCTGCTGAGAAGTCAAAGGCAACTTCACAACACTAAAGTCTAAACGTCTGCACTTGAAAAATGTGATGGAAGGTATAGAGGGAGAGCAGTGGAGGCCGAATGACTTGACGAATGTGCTTTTAACACTGGGAGTTCTGTGACCCAAGAAACCCCAGAGACTGCTGGTATCTCGGTTAGTATTGCAGTTAACACCAGACTGAGATCAGAGCATTGAAAGACCTGTCTGAAGGGGAGATCTATGAGTAAGAAAGTAGACTGGAGAGGTGGGCTTAACTAGACGATGCCTACATCTGCAAATATGCATTTGGTGCCCATATGTAAATGTTTCCCTAAAAGAGATGTTATTTTGAGCAATCAGAATAAGAGAGAAATCACAAAGTCTCATGTACCTACAGTTGAGAAGCAAGGAAAAGCCCTGGCCCCATGCGAGCAGGGATAGGTACGCAAACCCCTTCTCTCCAGATCCAAGATTTGCAGCATGAAACCTGCTTCTCCATTCTTGAATGAAGTTCAAGAAAGTAGGAATCTAGAAATAGCCCTATGTAGCCATTACAAGAGGTTCACCAGGCAGCCAAGGCTTTCTTCCGAGCTGCCTCTTGATGGACTCTATTACTTTTCAGCTGGCAGCCAAGTATGTAAAGTGTTTTCACCACCCAAGGACTCTTATGGCATGGAAGCTATACGCCAAACGTGAAGATCTAGAAGCCTTGTCAGAAACACAACTCTTCAGAGCAATGAGCTTCATCCTGGAGTGGGGTGCAGAGCAGACCAACCAAAGCCCCTCTCTCCACACATCACTTCTCTGACCAGCTCCCGCTATGGGCTGACCCTCCGTGTAGTCAAATATGCTATGGAAGCTACCCAGCACTGTTAGAATATCGTCAGCTGACTAAGGAGGAAATGAACATGAAAAGAAAAGAAAGCCAACTTCTCTGACAGGAATAAAACCTTGAGGAGAATTAAGAAGATTCATCGCTAGGAGAACTTGGGTTCTGGGAGCAAACTGACCTCGCTCCATACCTGGTCCAGTTCTAGTTTCTGAAGTGACTTACACTTAAATGCTATCACTGGTGGAAAACTCATCACTGTTCCCATGGTCATTTGTCTTGTTTAATCTGAGAAAACTCATCACTGTTCACATGGTCATTTGTCTTGTTTAATCTGAGAAAACTCATCACTGTTCACATGGTCATTTGTCTTTTTTAATCTGAGAAGAAATGTCCTTACAAGAAGCCTCAGACTTCAACCTATTGATTCTTCCGGCTATGTTAAAAAGAAGGTGGAGAACTAATGCTTCCATTATGCTTTGTAGCAACATAACTCCTCCGAGACTACCATATCCACTCTTTACAACTGGGTCTCCTAAAACTGGGACAGGTGGACATGGGAACAGAGGGATTGCAGAGGGCACTGTGGGATGGAAAGCATTCACATGCTCCATAAGTATGGGATACAGCACGGGCCCTAAGCGTGGAACAATTGCTGCCCTCTGCTGTGATCCTTCTCCACCTGCACAATGCAGAGCATGGGACCAACGTCTGCCAGGTCCGGCCTCCTCTATATGTCCATCAGTTCATGAAAGAACTGAGGCAGATGCCTGCTCACACCTCACAGATACTCAGCAGCCAAGCCACTGCTTATGCTTAGTCTCTTTTTTGTCTGAAAAACTAATGAGTAATGAGCAAAGTCCCCAACTTGGTAAAAGGCAGAAGTTCCGGGCCCTGGGAGAGTTAACACCTTAGACCAATGTCTCCAGTCACTGACTGAGAGGACAATGCAATGTCAGCTGATCGCCTGGTGGGTCTGGATGAGATGCCAGATCCCACCCTACAGGCCTTC